CAACATATTGAACAGATGGCAGTAAAACACATGAACAGAATACAGGTAACACTCATTAACACGCCTTTCCTTAATGTTTATGTCATGGATATAGCTGTATATATTAAATTGTAGATAACCTGTAAGAGGTCAGCAGATCTTAGATGCATGTGTCTTCATATCTGACCCTTCTCCATCTCCTCTCTCACAGACCTGCAGAGGGAGCTCAGCAGTGATGCACAGAGAGATGCTCAGACTGAGGCTCCTGTGCAGCTCTCTGAGGAGAGTCCTAGGCCGGAGATCCAGCCAAACAATGCTGCATGCGTCTATGATAAACACATGTTGCCATCAGATGACAGCAGCACAACACCCCACACAATACCTGCTACTTCCACCAGCCTGCCTTTTATTCCTGTCAACCCAGTGTCCCAGTTGCAGCCTCCAAACAGCCCGGTCTCCTCTGATGTCTTCCAGCTGGCTCCTTTCAAAACGCCAGCAAAAGAGAGCAAGATGCCCTTCAGCAGCCCCTCCTTCTGCGAGTCGCTTAAACCTGCTGACGCATCCGATATCTTCCTCCAGGCACCGTTTGGAAAGAGGCAGGAAACCACCCAAGCTAGCACTCACATATCTGAACCGCAGATTGAAACCAGCAAACAGTGTCCCCCGGTCCCAGAGTCGTCCCCTCCCGGTCCCCAGTGTCCCCGTGTCTGGGCCACCCCTCTGCTCCAGCAGCCGGTGGCCGTGCACCGGGTCGTCTCCAGGATCGGTCAGCAGGCCGCGGTGGGCTCCGTGGCAGTGGGGCCCCTGCATTCCTGGACCATCGGGGGGAGACCCCTGGAAGACCCGTTCACCGCTGCACCTTTCCACCCCAGATGCTCTCAGGGGAAACCTTGATCATATCTCTGAGGCCAAGTCACAGCTTAATTCTGTAACTTAAAGGTCACCTATTATGCAAAATCCAGTTTTTCATGTCTTTTATACATCAACATGTGTCCCCTCTGTGTAAAGAGATTCTGAAAGTTTCAGGAAAAAAGATTGGCTCACTTTCTCTCCTGATCCATTTATAAGAACCTGTCTGAAAATGAGCTGATCAGATTTTGGCCACTTTATGATGTCATAATGATTTTTTGGCTTGTGTAACCATTAGCCAATCACCAACCGAGGTAACCCCCCCCACACACCTTATCACCTGAATCTCCTCCTAGAGCACCAATAGGCGCGTTCACACCGGAGTACTTTTCCCACAAAGGTTCATGAGAACTTAGTTCATGGGAACTCTGTAGTTCTCATGAACTAAGTACAGATCGCGTTCACACCGGAATAAGTTCCTGGGGAAGGATTAGGCAAATGAAGCCGCTGACGTCACTTCTTCTTCTTCTGCTTTGGGTTTACTGGCAGGCCGCAAACAACTTCACGGCGTATACTGCCACCCGAAGTCCCCGGCCGGAAGTCCCCGGAGTTAGGGACTGGCTTCAGTAGAAGCTGCTGGGACTCCCAGCAGCTTCTACTGAAGCCTTCCGAGTAAATCGCCAGATCGCCGACACCTCCTCATCTCCACCGCTCCCATGTTTTCTTTTGTGTTGCCATAAGTTAGTCTCTGCGCTGGGCTAATGCTAATGCTAATAATGCTAATGCGAGGATAATAAAATGGCGGCTTCACAATACTTTTTTTAAGTTTTACGGGGCGTGGTTTGCAATCCGCCCAGCCAATCAGACATAAGAACCTTTTTCTCCCACGAAAGTACCTGCTCTCTAGCAGGGACGGAAACGGGGGTAAAAGGGTTCTGATTAACACATTTTAGTTCCGGCTCTTTTTGGTGTGAACGCGATATTTCGGAACTATATCGGAACTAAAGTGGGAAAAGTACTGCGGTGTGAACGCGCCTATTGTATTCTTTTTAACCAAATATCTCTCAGAGGGGCGTGGGGAGTAGCTCCTTATTTTCATCTAAAGTAAAAGACAGAGAATCAGCACTTTTGAAACAGGGCTGAAACAGAGGGGATTATGGGATGCAACAATGGTCTGTTTGCTATTCAGAGCCAAACACTTCAGAGACATGCTTTGTATATATCTGAGACCTATAATATATTGATGAAAAACAGTATAATAGGGGACCTTTTTAAAGAAGGAGCTTCAGTCGCAGTATTACCCACATTTCTAATGTAGTTTTACATTTATTACCATTACTGCAGTATTAAAACCAGTATATTATATGTTTACTGGTTATGTAGCTTTTTAAACTTATGGTCTACCTCACTTGACTTTATGAGTGCTTCATTTTAGCACAATTGAGAAGCTGGACTGAGGAATTCTTAAGAAGAACTTGAAGGAGTGATCTGGGAATCATTTGAAACTGAATTTAGGATATCAAAAAGGGTTCACCTAATCTGTCGTTTTGATCATGCTAATAATAGTTTATTCAAATAATTTCAAAAAAACATAGTGTGTTTATCGTTAATTCAAATATTTGGTTCTGTTTTACTCAGACCTTTTTCTGTGTGCTGTAATATTTAATATAATTGTATTGCAATATAAACAAAAGCTTAGAGATATAGTAGCTGTTTGAGTTCAAAACAGGTCAATCAGTTTGGCACTGATTGCGTGTTCCTAAACTTTAGTTTGTAATGCTTTGTTTACATTTGAATTACAGATGTTGCCTTTAATACCAGGCGTATTATGTTTCCAAAATGGTTGCAGGCCTGAAGAACTGAAGATACCAAATATTTAATGCAAACCAAAGAAGTATGGACATTAAATGTAATGATGTGAGACCTTTGTCACACCGCTAAGGGACAACACATATTCTTGCAGTTACAGCACTAAAATACTCCTAAAAATGTAAGAAAAGAAAGACAATTTACAGAAAATCTGAAAAGGCTGGTCATTGGAGAGCTTTACTGGAAACCATATGATGTTACACTTGGAAGACTTTGATCATATTGAGCGCCATTTACCTGCATTATTGCTTAATAATGTTTGCAGGTTGATGCTGCCTTTTCCAACAAACTACTCCAGTTTCTCCGAATTAGCCTCATAATGTTAGACTTTTTAAATGAAACATATCCTGTCTGTAGTTCGATATTCACTGATGTCTTACAGCATGAGGTGACGGGTCAGAAGGGATTCTCAAGAACAAAACAAAACTCCATCTCTACCAAGCAGACGTTTTAGTAAGTTTATCATATTTTAAATAATGCTTCTAAGTTTGCCTTATTCTTTGTTACAGATGGACGAGTTTTTGTAAACTATGGTGCCTTGCCATGCTGACGGTATCTGTGTATATCTATATAATACTGCATACGTTGTCAGTGAAAATGAAACCTGTACTTTATTAAAGGTTATTAACATAATTGCATCGTACTGTTTCTACCCATGCCTTATTGCCAACTCATTTTAGAGGGTAAACCTGTTCAAATGTCAGCCTCTTTTAAGGAGACAGCAGCCAGAACCCACATAGTTTCAAAGATGTTGTGTGATCTCTCAGTTGTGTTGATAGACTTGAGATATTTACTTTAATAGGATGAAAAGATCCCTTTTCCTCTGTGTCTTAGATGAAGCAAGATGTTTTTACCTTTGGATGGTCAAAGGGTTTGACATACAAATGGCTTGTGAAATAACTAACATTTGTATTTAATGTTTTTTCCATTTTACCTCAGCATTTCTTTATATCTGCATGATGTTAAATGAAGAAACTTTCCTAAAAAGTATAAGTCTGCTGAGGTAAAATGGAAAAAAACACTAAATACAAAGTGGGGTTGCTATTTCAGAAAGCATTTTTGTGTCAGACCCCTAATAAACCAGCCAAAACATGCGAGTTACAGCTTAAAACTACTCGAGGGAAAAGGGATTAATGGAGTTAGTGTGAAAGATGAGCTGCTTGGTTTTATTCAAGGATACGCAAAATCACACGTGATTTAGTAAGAAATAAAGAGGGGGGACATGGAAACGGGTAGAGTGAGCCAGGTCATGAGCTGATTTGATCAAAGTAAACATGTCAGGATGTGTGTACGTAAATGGAGATAGATAAGTCTGTAAATCAATGCTGTGCCAGCTGCTGCGCTTCATGATGTCTCTGTAGAACTGATCAGCTGTGACGCCTGTGATTGCTGTTGTTTGTACGCCAAAGAAGATGTGCCACTGGCCGAGTTCAGTTCAAGTTAAACATATTTGTGTGTAGATCGAGAAGTAAGCTGGATTTGATCATTCCCTCTGCAGAAAACTATGATCCAAGTCATGCAGCTAAACAGGCTAGATATATTATTTGTGATCTTATATCTAAAACTTGTTGATCTTTTTTTAGAGAATACTATACTATGCAATTGTTTTGTTTACGATGATTGAGATGGTTTTAGGAATATAACTTTTGTTCTTACCCAGTCAATCATATAGTTACAACTGAAACCTGATAACAGAAAAAAAAACAACCTTTGAAGTGACCCCATTGGTCTTAACGGGTTGCAAAATTCCGGGAATTTTCAAAGATGGAAACATTCCATGGGAATAAACTGGGAGTTTTCAAAATCGAAGGTTGGCTCTTCATAGGGAACTTAAACATAGTTGGGGAAAATATATTTTAGCATAATCTTGACTAAAACAAACAGATGCCATTCAAGTACACTTGAATATCCATGCAATAGCACACTACTTACTGCATTGCTATTGAGACCACACAAAGGTTCTCAACAGGCTCACAAATGTGAGAGTGGAAAAACTGGTTGGCATTCGGGCAAACCTAAGGCTCTGAGCCTGACACAGAGCCATCCTCAACAAGGCTGGACAGTGACACTGAAGAGCAAGACTCAGTGTGATGTTGATGAGGCCCAGGAAGAGCCCGTTGACTGAAAGGGTTTAGCCAAAATGCAGAGGATTGCTTGAAGGAAGATTAGCTTTTGTTTAATGGAACTTTTTGGAGGGAGAAGGGCTCTTTTTTATTTTTTTAAATAATCTGTTGAAATGTCATGTTTTTTGTTTAATTTGGCATCGAATATTTCCAAAATTCCCCAGCTTAACTTCCCATGGAAACTTTCCGGAAATGTACCGGAAACTTTCCGCCCCTTTGCAACCCTAGTCTTAACTCACCTATGCTCTTAAATAGGAAGGTATTATTTAATGTTTTTGTATAAACCACCTCTTCACTGTGTGCAGAAGGATGTTTTATAGTGTTATTATAAATACTCCTACCTGATCTTGATGGCATCATATTTTGTATTTATAGTTTTTGTTCTTAAATCTGAATGCTTTTGTTTCTGACAGTTGCCTCAGACACGCCTCCATGAGCTCACAGGACTGCACAAAACTTAGGAAAGCACATGGAAAATATATATCAAGATGTACTTTTTTAGATATGATTGGAATAAGACTCTTGGCTTGTTGCAACATTTCAAACTCTGTATATCAAGTTCCATTCTTCTAGCTCTAAGCACATTTGCCAAACTCTTGTAAATAAAGATAATTGTTTTTACGATATTCATCCTACTGTTAATCCATCCACCTTCTAGCTGTTTGCTCATTTCCTGCAGTGCCAGCCAGGAAAGCAGAGCAGCCCAGATGGGCTTTTCTCTGCAAATTCCTCCAGTTTTTCCAAAAGTAACTTGTGGTGACCAGAAATATTGTTTGCATGCAGCTGTCTGGGGAGTCTTTACCAGGTAAGAAAAGTCAGTGCTTTCTCTCTTAATGAATGTGGACAGTGCCCCAAATGTGTTTCTGAAAGCTAACAAACTCAACATTTAGAACATCTCTTGTGAATTCATTTATCTTTATGTATTTAAAAACAATGTTAACTTGCTCTAAGTGTATGAGTATTGACACCTTCTGCTGTGTATACACTGAAAAACGAGTACAATATATCCATCAGAACATCTGAAACATACTAATAAAAGGTTAAACCTAACAAATCCTGTGAATCCATTGAAATCATAAAACGATATACATGTGATGTGATTGTGATCTAACGGATTTTCATTTACAAAATATACATTTTCCAAAACAGCACTTGCCAAACAAACTTGCATGTTTAAAACACATGACACAGTTACTGAGCCACCGGACATCCTGCTGCTAATACTCTTCTTTCTTTTTTATCTCCACTGCATTAAGTAGTGATGGGAATAACGGCTCTTTGAAGGGAGCCAGATCTTATGGCTCCGTTCCTTTCCGAGAGCCGTTCAAAAGAGAAATAATCACCAGGATAATGATTGACTGTATTGCCAGAAATCTACTTTTACTCACAGAAAATGTATAACTTGCTACATCTCTCAGCCAGCCAAACTACTACTCAAGCAGCATGCGTTATGCCATCATCTACGGAAAATTGGCATTCAGGAAAGCAAGTTCCTTTAAAGGCGAGTGGGTTTATTGCAGGCAGTGCACCAACGATAAAAAGAACGGCTCTCACCAAGTAGGACTCGGTTCCCTTCGTTCGTACCAAAGAGCCGTTCAAAAGAATCGGATCGTTCGCGAACGGCACATTACTAGCATTAAGCAGTGATCAAAGATTTGCATCAAGTAAAGAGTAAAATGTGCGTTTATACAACTCCAGAGCGTATCGCAATGCTTGTCAGATTTGATATTTGGGAGAAATGCTCCATTAGCATTTAATAGCCAAAGATGTGCCCGCTACACTATTTACTTTCTAGACTTAAAAATTCAAGTCATAGTTCTTGGCACATCAAGCATGAGCTGCTTGTGGAGGAAAACTGATGTTCAATGATCAGCTGCAGCCTCGAAAAGGCAACATTTAAAAGTCACTCTGACAGAGAAGACGATCCTTCTCAACATTTCGTTTTTTAATCATCATCATCATGATTGGGGCGTGGAGGAGGCCGTGAGGGAGGAGGCGCTCTGCACGGGGCGGGACCCTGAGGAGGGGGCGGTAGGGAGCCGGTTGGGGACGGGGGTGCAGAGACTGAGCTCAAGTTAGAAGGAGGCAGGGCTCTGTTGGGAGGGGGGGTGTACGGAGGAAGGGTGGTGAAGTCCGGGGGAGGAGTGGACGGCAGAGGGGGCAGCGTTGAAGTGGGCGAAGGGGGCAAGAAGGTGTGGCTGCCCTCTGACGGACGACGCTGGTAGCTGTGGGGCAAAGTGTAGACGGGCGTTGAGGGGTGGTTGTAGATGGGATAGTGAGAAACAGGGTAGGGTTTACTCCGGGTGAAGTTTATGCACTTGCCCTGTAATGAATTAAAAAAAATAAAAAGTCATTTCAGGTCATTGTGGAAAGAAAAGAAAAGACAAAAATCTGCAGATATTCCATAAATCTGAATCTGCTGTGGCACATTGGCACGCTTGGAAGGGTACAGCTTTCAACTAACGGAAAGAGGAAATTCCTCTGTTATTGGGTGTCATGGAAGAAAATAGTATTCCTGCCAGCCCAGTCGAGCAGAAGCTGGGAGTGGAGCATGACTTACTCCAAATGACTTCTCCAGACACAAGTCTTCCTGCAGAAACAATGCTGCGGTTGTTTTTTCCTTTGTCTACTCGCTATGCCTCCTGAGGGTTTAGCTTGAAGTCAGTTTGAAGGAGCTTTGACTTTTGAGTCTATGGAATACGTCTTTAATGTCATGCAGATGAAACATCATCTCGTTTTTTTACTTTGCTCTTTGATCCTTCGCTCCAAACTTCTTTTGTTCCTCATTTCCAGAGGTCATGAATTTGAGATCTGACCAATCTTTACACGTCTGCCTGCCAAAAACCTGAAATATCTGGTTAACTATCCTTTTTATTGCTTTGCTTTTTAGTTAATGCGTTCTTGTCTTAACAGAAGTGATGCAGTTTTTCATTAAAGAGAGGAAGAATCATAGCATATTTTCCTTTCTTCTGTTATCTCTGGCGTGTCTCTCACCTTGTCTCCAGGATGAGGTCTCATCACAGACACTCTGTCATAGCCTTTTCTCAGAAATACATACAAAGCGTCCAGTTTGCCCTGGAGAAAGATTAGCACAGATGATAGTACAAATATTAAACAGCAGATCATACAAGTGACCTCTGATAACAAACAGATGATCAACATTATCTGTGTGTGTCGTGTCCCGCAGTGCAGCGTTAGTCTGTTTTCTCTGCCAGGCGGCATCTGCTCCACTTTTTGCTCTCTTTCTTTTGATTCTTGCATAGGAAGCTTTATGGTAGAGCGATAGATAAACAAAGAAAGTATTTTTGCTGGAAATAACAGCCGTGCAACAGATTCCTTAATAACGGGTCAGTTTGGTTCATGTCTGGTTCTTATTAGCATCCATCCAGCTGACTAATATGCTTGGGAACACATTTGTATTAACTATTTCCTGGTCACACAGCATCCCCAGGAACACTAAAACTAATACTTTTTGATTATGATGGATGGACGTCATTGTCAGAAAGAGGTCTTTATGTTTCGAAACATCTGGAACTTACATCATACTGTAGTATAGTACATATGTTAACGTTATGTGATCCATGACATGGAAAACATTTTCCAACAGTTCTCAAACTGGGCAAGACCATGCTATGTGGATACAAACTCTCAAAAAAACTATAACAACCTAAGATAAGATTTGTTTTGTCAATTTAACTATATTTAATCAAATTAAAAATTAAAAAATTAAAACTATATAACTTTAGCACCTTTATTGGAGAGTACCACTTCTTTGGGCGGACTGATTTGTGCACATGGTAGTAAGGCCGCGGTGGTTCGTACTCCTCCTCTGGCATCACAACTCGAGCATTTTTTGCTTTTTCCAGTTTAGCTCCTTCTTCAGTCGAGCCTTTATCTCCCCATCGGACCTGAATAAAAACAAAGGTTATCAGTGCTCTAATAAGACAAGCAAAATACGTGTTTAAATGAGTTGAGTTTGAAGTAGGAATACAGTCGATAATTGTATTAGTTTATATTAGCTTCAGAATAATAGAGCGGCTAGGTTTTAGCCACGTTAGCTCCACCATTTGTCTTCACTGACATATCTCAAAAACTGTTTCATGACATTTTCACATTTTGTTTTGTTCCTAGACAATAAGTCCATCTCACTTTAGAGATCTACTGACCTTTACTACAGTCCAGTGCATATGAGCTTGACATTTTTGGTTTCTGGAAAAGTGTCTCAAACAACTATTGGATGGATAGTTGTTGTTTGTTAAACTTTCCTCTTGCGCCATGGACTGGTTAAATGTTTGTGTCCCACACTTAGTTGTACTGACTGAATATCCTACCTTTAATGATGACATGCAATCAGCCTCAGCTGTACTTTGCTGCATTTGCATTTAGTCTAAATAGTTAATGTTAGCATGCTAAATACTGTAGCAGCTAAAATAAGCATGTTAGCATTGTCTTTCTGAGTATGTTAGCATAACTATAGCATTTAGCTCAAAACACAGCTGTGCCTAAACACAGCGCTTAGACCTTAGATTTAGAGAAGCTTAGTCTTGTTACATTGAATATTTTGAGATAATAAGAACATTTTATTTACATCAGCTAAAAAAAAGGCATCTGGATCATTTTTATGCCAGTGCATGCAATGATTTCAACTGTTGTAAATTATGTCAATCTTATTGCTACAACGGGCTGCTTTATTTCTACATATGAAAATGACTCTTTTCTTGCACATCCACATAAAGATTAATTCAACCCAGTCCTCAGAAGTTGGCTCATTTGCCTCAAAATGCTATTTCATTGCAGTTTATGTTCCAAAGTTTGGGATTTTTTCCAATGCCTCTGAGAGAGCAGCATTTACTTTAAGACCTATTTTCTAGCTTAAAAACTACATATTCAGCATAAGAACCAATGCTAACGATAATCTTCCTTCCCACATGTAAAGAATGTTTCACTAAAAGCAGATTTGTTATGTTTCTTTTATAATTAACTGAATGCTCGGAGAACAACTAAAAAAGCCAAAGTATATAAGAAAGATCCATCACACCAGGATTGAAACCAGTCCTGTCAAAGCAACCTTGGAAGATCATTATTCAGATGTACTCCCTTGCAGCTGCCACAGAAAAGCCATGAAAGTTTAAACCTGGCAGAAAAAGCACTTAAATGAGGTTGTGCATATTTTCCATTGCTCTGTTTGGAAGTGGTGCCGCTTCAAGTTCACAGCACAGAGTCCTCAGGCTACACTGACAGTCTGTAAAGCATTTCACACCAAGAGAGTGACCTCCTTTCTCCTAGACACATATTGTGACATTGGGACGTATGTACTTTCTGATCATTTCTCAGAATCTATCAGGTAGCTCAGATGTCTGACTGCCTCTTACTATTTCACTAGAAATCTCCAGACATTGTGATTTCTTCCTTTCCACACACAATTGAAAGCATTCTTGCCTTTTACCACCTCAAGTTGCAAAATCCAAGCCTTTCCACAAGATTCCTCTAATAGGCACCTTTACTTCTCCTGAGCAGAAAACCAAAGAAACTTGCCTGTTTCTGTAACAACCACGAACAAATCATTCAAGCTCGCCAGAAGAGTACACATCCTGGCATTTGGTAAATCTGTCGTCTCTGCAGTTTACGGGCCAGATCTTGGCCTCAACTTGACTCTCACTGGCTCTCCAAAGAATAGAAAGCACTACAAAGTGACTCAGCCGCTTCCAGCATGGACTTGCATACTCATCTCTTTTAAGGAGTTACTCTTTTCCTGTTCCACTTTGTATTGCCTCTGTCATTGATTGATCTTTTTTCAAAGTAAGCAGGAGCTAGAATCATGGCTGCCACATGTTTCTTCTATGAAGCTGGAGCTAGCTGACTGATGCAGATATGCAGTGGATTTCATTCTTATATTTATAAAAAAATCATATTTAATTTAATTCAGCATCTATAAGCATCATTTGCTGGTTTGATGTTGATTCAATGTAAGAATTACCTCTTCTGATTATAGCAGCTTTGCAACAGGCTGCAAACATTTTGCAATATTAGTATTCTATTTTGACAAGTTAACACAAAGTTAAACACTAAGTTTAACGACATAATAAAGTATTTTCTATCTGGGTTTCCTTATACCTCCATTCATTTTAGTTATATAATAAGCATTTCAAAGTCACAAATAAAGAAATCCAACAAAAAAGAATCCAGTGCATATACTTACTCAAAGTAACGGTGTCATTGATGCGGAAGCTGCAGAGTACTTTCTGTACGTCTCGGGTGTGAAGGAAACCATTTCCTTTTACTACCACTTCGAAAGATTCTGAAATGGGATTAAAGGGACCTTATTTTATAATTATTTACTGTCATTTGTCCTTCCAAAAGGTTTTATATTGTGTATTTTGAAAGGCCTATAGTCATAAATGTAACCTAAACTCTACATCATATGCTTGTATGTCTCTTTCAGTTGAATAATTATATCTAAATATGAGTTGTATAATGCAGAATTATTTTTAATAAAATGTTTGTGTGTACCTCCTGCACAGATGCTGGACGGCTCTACAGCCAAGATCTCGATGCATGACCTCTTCAGGATCTAAAAGGGGAAGTATTTGCAGAAAAAGAGGAACTCAAGGTACAGTAGGTTCAATTTAGCAATTCAATATTTAATCATTTTTCTGTGACATAAAATTACCGAGTCGATGACTCCGTGTAGCGCCTCAAATCCGTCGTTCACCGGGAACACATGGTCCTTACTGTCAGCTATCGTTGAAAGCTGTCAATGACGATTCAATGATTATAACTTTGCACTGCTCAATTCATACATTAATAAACCGTTTTATTAGTTACCAGATTAATGTACCTGGGTTTCATTGAAGTCTTTAACCCCGACACAATACACAGTGGCACCCAACTGGCGAGCTCTGCCTGCCTGAGACATTAAACAACACAGGTTTTTTAATGATAGGTCATTTTGCAGTTCTATTTGATGACTGAGTTGGTATTCATATGTTTATGAATCATTTGAGTGTGATAGAGAGTATTTCATGGTGTAGCATAGCCTGCCCAAGGACTGCAAAAGCAAATGATTCAAAGATTATTGATTGTTGTCCCTGTGTAATGAAGACTATATCTGAGTAAATGAACTTCAGTAGAAAGATGAAGGCTCAGTCAATCGGGCAGAAAGTGCAGGTTTCATTGCTCCTTATGGGCTGCAATTTTAACGTTTTTTCCACTCGTAGAAACGCCTCCTTCAGTTATGTTATGCCTTTGACAGCTGCTTGAAAACATCTGTTGTGACATTGCAGAGTCATGTGGTCACAAGGGCAACAACCCTGGTGTTTACACACAGGATAATACAGCAAAGGCTTTCCTGACATGAGGTTCAAATGTTTATTTATGCTTTTAAGTTTCTATTTTTACATCATTTTTGAATAGGGGAGAAATATAGCTAGGTGATATGATACATAATCACATGATGGTAAAAAAAAGTCCCAATTTGCAATATTATTACTGTCTTTTTGAAAAAAAAGGATCAGTTTGAGGAGATATTCATTCTCTATTGAACATTGACAGTTAAACTGCACTAAAGCAATGTTTAAGTAATGCTAACACCCTGCATTTAGTTTGAATCCCTATCTGGTTTTCATGTCACCTCTCTTTGTGCGAGGTCAAACTGATTTTCCCTCAGTTCACCGTCCGTCAGGGCGATGATAACACTGGCTGTCCGGTAACCTAAAAGCCAGAAACAGAGAGGGAATGGCGGTTTAAATAATGACACAAAATCCGTCTCATCAAATATTATAAAATAACTTTCCTTTGATGGAAAGCGCAGCTGTTATTCGGTTGTTATTTTTGATTAATCTAACACATGTTTGAATTGAGTTGTGATGAATGGATCAAATATACTTATTACTACTAGAAGTCATGATTACTGTAAGTGCTTGGAAAGGAACATTTTTTACTCACCATCTCCGGTCCCGTAGTAAATTTGCTCGCTGGCCTAAAAGAGAAGTTTAGAGGCGTCAGTGGCAATATATTTAAATTGGTCTCATTTAAAATGAGTTAGATGCCATCCTGTTGGGCAAGCAGGATCTGCTTCTCATTTATTTAACAGATGTCTTACTTTTTGAAAACCTTTGTCCATGAAGGTGTCTCCACCAGGATGCACATTGTTGAGCTCCTCCAGCCCGGCCCGGATCTGCTCTCTGATCATTGAGTATATGTTATTTAAAATTCAAGGAGATAGCACAAATTGCATTTAATTAAGCAAAGGAAAATACAACACATACATTCAATCTTTAAGACATTTGCATGAGGCTGTGTGTGTGTGCACCTGTCTTCTGTCAGTGCCATGAGAATCCTTCCTTCTGTTGAAAACACAATGAAAGACATCCGCAGCTGAGGACTATAAGAAAACAAAACAGCAAGAGACGACAGTCATGTTTTACAATATATAGTTTCTCTTTCAAATCTGAAGTTTCTGCTTGGACTTACCTGATGAACTTGTGAGCCAGGTGGTCAACAAAGTAATAAATCTCATTCCAGTGTTGTTGCACACTGCCAGACCTGAGAAAGGGTCAAAGAATACAAGTTGCTTATAGAAATTCATAAAGGTAGCTGTCCTTAATGCCATATAGTTTGCAGAGGTGGGAAGTAGTGGAGTATAAATACTTTGTTACTCTACCTAAGTACATTTTTCTGGTATCAGTACTTTACTCCACTACTTATTTTTCTGACGACTTTTTACTTTTACTTCTTACATTTTCAAAACAGGTTTGTTTGTTAGTTTGAATGTGTGTTTGGTGGCGTCATCATTATTATTTAGAGTCATTGCGTGCCTATTGATTTGAACACGATCCGTGTATCCATCATTTCCTGGTCTTCTCTAAAGAAGAGGGACCAATGAGAACTTTTTCATGTTGCCGTTGTTCAGCATGGAAACATTCATTAGCTAACAATGACATTATTGTTCTATTAATATAAAGTGAGGTCAGGTACTCTTTAAAACAGCTGCTAGTTATGGGTACCTTTTACTTAAGTACATTTCGAAGCCCACACTTCTTTACTTTTACTTGAGTAAAGAAGTTTAGTCAGTACTTTTTTACCAGAGTATTTTTTAAACATGAGTATCTGTACTTCTACTTGTGTAAAGGATGTGTGTACTTTTGCCATCTCTGATAGTTTCTATATTTGTCAGTCATGTGGTAGTATAGGCAGCAGTTGGTCATAAGTTGTTATGAGATAAAAAATATAGAAAAACTTCTTCTTCCATTTGCTTGTTTACTCAGAACTACTGTTAAAAGCCCAAATATATTTAGTTTACTATCTTTTAAGACAAGTAAAAGCAGGACATTTTCACATTTGAGAGGCAGTTACAGCTAATTGTTTTTGCATTTTTTGGTTAAGTAAATTATAATCCATTGTCTGAATTGTTGCGCAAAAGAGCTGCACATTTAATGTTCCTTTTTAGTTTTAAGTTGAATGATTTACTATGCTGTAGCTGCTTTGTTATAATATATTTGTTTATCTTTTGTCGTGAGTTTTAAGCTTTTGTATTTTCTTATACAGTAAGTGCTGATGCTTCACTTTTCCCCCATGTGGTTTCACGGATTATTTGCATAACAAACAATGAGAAGTGCCACGTCAATTTTCAAATGAGCTGAACTTAATGTCAAGTCCTGATTTTAAAATATGTTGCGGACTCAAGTAACAAAAAGAAGAAGACACTGTTAAACGGAAGTCAGCCATTAAAGAGAATTACGAGACACTTATGTAAAACGTCTTCTCATTCTGCACTGCTTCTCTTCTTCTCCCTCTTTTTTTATGTTTTCATTTATCCTGTGATGTGAGTCCCAGTGCAGATGTGCTGCCAAAAACTTTGGATCTCTGGAACATCTGGCTCTAATGGAGAAAGGGTTCTGCAGACTGAAGCAGAGCTGGACTCAATGTGGAGTCCTGTCGGTGAAACGTGGCCGAACTTCAGAAAGTACCAATGGAAAAAGTGATTTCTGATTTATAGTGTTATCTCGTGCATTTATTTCATTGGGTATTTATTTGTCAAATGGTCTGGTTTGTTATATATATTGTTTTTGATATTTCTAATTCATCAGGATTCCCTGCAGGGCACTTTATTATTGAAGTGAAAGCATCAGCACTTTGTAAAGTCTTCATCACTGTGTAAACTGTATTTTCCATCCAGGAGGACATTACTATGGCCTGGCAACTAAACATCAACACACTGACACATGACTGGAAATGACCTGTTGAGGAGCTTCACACTGGCTTCAGTTTCATGGAAAGGCTTACCTAGCCCTCGTGTCAACACTCACAGGGTTCTAGAGATCTGTTCCTTTGTTATGAGATATACATAGAGTTCTAGGCCAAATGTGCCTACCGTTTTCTGATTTTATGTGAGGATGTGTTGCTTTTCTTTGTTTTTTATGGTTTAAACTGATTATCTTTACGTTTTTAACTGTTGGAAGAACAATGGAAGACATTTTCATGGAGCCACCTGAGACTCAGGGAGGATGAGACGCATTTTTTATAATTTCTGACATTTTATAAACCGAATTGCTAATCGATTGATCCAGACGTCATTTACACTATGATACTTCCATCTGGTGGTTATCAGTTAGTCTATATATTTAGTCAATATATTTTAAGAATGTCCCTATCAAATTAGCCATATATAAATAAAGCAATCTGCAGATTAACAATGAGAATATTTGTTGCAAATTGGAGCTGCTGGATGTTATGGTTGATGCCCTAAACATCCTTTACCACAAGAAATCCTCAGATCTGGAGTGTTTCACTCTTCTGCCTTTTTATTTAACCTTTAGTAAACTTGTTATCCGAAAGGGGACATTTCACAATAAACATCCACATGTGCCAGCTGTGTTGACAGAACTGAGCTTTGTTTTGGCACTCTAAGTCACACACATTATCCTTTATGTCTGTCCCCAGCACAAAACCAGTCGTATTTTCACTTGACTTAAAGCTGCTTGTCATTTCAAATCTTCTTAATATACTACAGTAGCTCCTATTTGTCACGCAAGTAGCCCGTTAATGCCTCGTGTTTGCACCTGTGTCTTCAGAACAACCTCAGATGATTCGTGCACCGATCATTAAAAGTTTAATAAAGTAGCACTCACTTGTCCAAAACAAAGTAGAGGTCAAACCCTCCGTAGCAGGACGAGCCGGCCTCCCTCCTGCCTTGGCTCTGCCCTGCGCTGCTGACCACCAGGACCACCACCAGCATGCCCAGTTCCACACCGAGCAGGACCTGCCTGCACCAGCACTGGGACATCACCCCGGGTTAAAGAACAGGCACCAGCTCAGCCAAAAAGAAGGTAAAGAGTCTCCGATTGGAAATGTTGGTCCACTCTCCCTCTCACGCCACACTCATGCAGTCAGCCATGCTGCACATGCATTAAAGTCCTCTCTGGATCAGCGTCCCATCTCCTCAGCAGCAGATGTGTGCTGGCAGAGTAGGAGTGGAGCTACTGGGACTCAAGACTTCAGCTCCCTCTCTCTCCACGCTCAATCTTTTTAACCCATGCTGCCATGAGTTCACATAAAAAACGTTTAAACAGTTTTTTTTTTGTTTTTTAGCAGCTTTTACCAGACATTTGTTCTTGCTATTAACAGCAATCAACACAAATGTGCATGCACTTTTTTTGCAGGTTTACTCAATTCATTACCTACCCATCAGTGCCACTTAGTGGTGGGAGAGGTACTCGGATGTTTGACTTGGACGAGTAAGAGTAATTAGTTACTTTTTATCTTTAGTGGTAAACGTATGCACTATAAAAATCATTGTTGTTAAATATGTAATATCTTCAGTTTAGTCAACTGTATTAAAGGTAAGAACTTAACCTACGAAACACTGGAATAATTACATGTGCTGTCTCTCCTGAAGTAACTTTATACCTAAAGGTTGTTTGTTTTTTTAAAGTGTTTCTCTACTTTAATTGTAGCTCCCAGCTCTCAAAATACAGGCTATTTTGAGAGCTGGGTATTGCATCAACCTTCAAAATAATCAATTAAAAACTGAACTGAACTGAAGTGACAGGCCTTTCACCAAAATGTAAAAAATTAAATATGGCAGTAGTCCTTTCTGTCTTTGCCAACATAAACAGTTCATAGTATAAACTGAATACGCATGGCACTGTGCAGTTGTAAAATAGCTCAGGTTAAGAGCAAAAAACAGGATTTATCTTCTAAAAGGTGATATATTTAGGAGTCAATGTGACATCCACAGAGTGGGGTGATATAAGGAGGACTTTAAACTCATCACACTCAGTAAGTGGTTCCCTACCTTTATTTTTGCTCACTTTTTAAATCCGCTTAACAAATTGTCTTAACAAATTGTCTTAACAAAGTACAGTAGGTGTGTGTGGAGTGGACCCTGTCACCTGGAGGTGGTATATAGGGTCAAGAATTAACTCCTATTTAAGATGTGTTTAAAGTTTAAACCTGTCTTGAGAAAGAGCCTGGGATTTCCAGTATGTTGTAATAAGTTAGCTTGTAGGTTTGCAGGAATTACAAAAAAATGTCAGGGTGAAAGTAAATACTTTTTGGCTGGACAATACATCTGCAATTTTGCTCCAAAATGATCCTCCAAATTAAGAAATAAAGACAGACAGAAGAAAGAACATAAGAAGAAAGAAAGAAAGAGGATTAAGTGCCATGAGAAACATTGTTAGGTTTGGTAGCTAGTCCCACATTGTGAGTGTGCATAGCGCATCTGCCTGCAGGTGAAGTGCCTCTGGTTCAGATGCATGGCTGTTATGCACTGTGCTCTCTCGGTGCTGTATGGCAGCGGATCACTGCAGCAGCATGGAGCCGTGAGGAAACAGCGCTGTGTTCCTGAAATCACACCGCTGCTGCTGTCGAGGAACTTTAGTTTGAGCGATTGTCACTGCCCACATTTACCAACTTTACCTGTTGTAGACATTTGATGGTAGCCTACGTAATGGAAGTCGCTCCAGCGTTTCTGTGTCTGCTGCTGTGCAGTCTGCGCGTTTCTCTGGCGGCTGACTGGGAGGCGGTGGACCCTCATGTTACTCTCCACGGGGATGTAATCGACTACAAGGATCCCTGTAAAGCTGGTACAGTCAATTTTACCTCGTCTGCAAATATATTCATCCTATGCATTCCCTTTTGTTGTATGCAGGAGTATTATGTTCTGTGTGTTGTTCCAATACACGTAGCCTCTATAGGCCATAACACATTGAGCTCAGACATCTCAAAGTTAAATGTAGCTATTAATGTTGATGTAAATGTATGGAAAAAGTAGGATAACATTTAGGTATACAAATATTTAAATGCAAAAGAAAAAATCCTTCCATATATTGTCAATAATTTATCAACGAGATAACAATTTAGTGTTAACCTGCATGAGTAAAAACACTGATTTCCACAATATAAGTAAAATAAATGTTATTTGAAGATGTTTGTATATAACTTGCTCTTGACTTATAATGTAGGTATTTTAAGTGTTGGTCTAAAGTAAAACAAGTAGCAATCTCTTGAGACAAATCAGCCTAATGCAACAGCTATATTGTTCAAGTATCTTGTAGTGTTGGAAGAACTAATACCACAACATAAAAATACTCCATTACAAGGAAAAAGTCTTGTATTTAAAATAAATATGGTATAATAAATAAATTGATTAGTTAGATGACTGAAAGGGCCCTTTTATATCATTTCATATGACAGTTTTAGTGAAAAACAGTTCAATTTTGCTGAAGTTTCATCTGTGGCATAGCGTTATAGTTTACAGTATTGTAACAAAGCTTTCAGATATAGTGGAAGAAAACGTAAGCTATTTGTCTCAATATTCGTGGAGAACAAGTATCTCATAAGTTAAAATTGAAGTACACAAGTGAAGTACCTCAGAGTTGTACTCAGGTGCAGTAATAGAGAACATGTTTTTAGTGACATTGTGTTTAAAAAATAAGAAGAACTATTCAACAAAGCATACCATAACAATACTCAGATATAGGCCTAGAGGTCAGGAGGAGGTGTCTGATTTGATAAACCCGTCTTTAATACCATTGCAATTAGCTTTCTAGAGTTAAAGAATATGCAACTTTATTCCATTGTATAACAAGCCAAAAGATCACTTTGCTTATTAGCGGGCCCCCAGCTGGTTGTGGTCCCTTTTCACTTGTGACTTCTGAAACTTCCACAACACACCACTCTTCTTCTCCGAGGCAGTTGCCTGGAGACTGGGGGTCATTGAGGCCGTGCCAACGCTGTCCTCGGCAGGACGCCGGTGAAATCCCTCTGGCTTCAGGGTATGGGGCGCACACTGCAGGGGTGACAGTCATTTACAGTCACCCTTTGCATGAGTGAATTCACTTCAAAAGGCCGACACAGGGCCTGCTATGTCTTTTCAGTTGGACTTTCAAAGGTGGTTACATCACACAGCTAAATGAGGTATTTAATGGGAGCAACTTTACTAAGCTTTTCTGCCCGACTAGTAAAACATGAGATACTGTTGTGTGCAGGAGGTCATTATAATGGAAGCAAAATGTGAGGGAACCGAAAACATGGTCAGATGTGTGTGGGATTCCTCTAATTAGGTTTCAGAATAGACACTTTGAAGCCTGGATTTAGTTGTGTGTTTGTCAGTAACTGAAAGCTCATTTGGACTTCAGTATAGTGTGTTTGTAATGTTTTGTGTCTTGTGGTTCAACTTTGTGTTTTTGACGCTGAAGTTGCAGGTTTTCCTGCTTTCAACAAAACTTAAGTCCAGACATGAATCAGTCCTTCTTTTGGCTTGTTTGGTTATTTACACTTGCTTGTTTTTTTCTCCCAACCTGCAACTCTTTAACACGTTCACCTTTTTTTTTTATCTTATGCTGTTATGCAAGAACACTTTTCCATACCTAGCATTTTTAGGCTTAGTAAAACATTAAGCCTGGGGCTGACGTTATAATGCTGTCACACCTGATATCTGGGACACGTACAAAAGATAAGAGTAATGTTTGGGGAATCCATGCTGCTAAACCAAACACACACAAAACAAACATTGTTCCTGGAGTGCTCTGTGGGTCATCCTGATTTACATGGTTGGTCACAAGTGATTCAATTTAGAAGAGTTTCCTCTAATCATAATTTGGTTGGTAGAAAGTGATGTTGAGTCTTCGAAGGTGTGGAAGATGCAGTTCTTCATCTTATCAAGCCTGCATAGCTCTTTGCTCCGATGTACAGTAAAGGACTTCACTCCTCAGTTAATGAGTTGCTGGGTATAATTATGAAAACATATCTCTGCTTATTGACTAAGGCATTTTACCTCAACCTAGTTCTGTAACTTTGAGAAACACACAACTCTACAGACTTAATCTCAAGGCCATAAATGAATATACGAACTTCTTACAAGAGTTCTTTATGGTTGTTGTTGTTTTGCCATTGGAGTACAAGTCCAGCAAAGTGTAGTCACAATGCTATCAGGTATTCAGTTCACATCTTTATTCTTGACCGAGACAGTCCTCCAATATGTTTCAGTGTGTGTGCTCAGGAGGAGTGTTTGCTGATCAAACAGACACATGGAGTCAGTTTAGACCTCTTCTCAGGACAGAGATATCAGACACAGTAATTCATGCAGTGAAGTTGGGCTGCTTTTTGAAGTAAGAAAAATAACTGAGTATCAGAGATGAGTTTTAAAAATATCCTTAGTCAGGTTCTGTCTGTGATGAAGAAATTATTAAACCAACCGCTCAAACCTTTGTTTGGATCTACTGAATGACACAGTGTGAGAAATAGGTAATTTTCTAAAGTTTAGTTTTCTCCACATTACTTGATAACACTACTCAGGAATTAAAGAAATAATATGATATTTGGGAAATATTCTTAGAGCTTAGATGAGAAAATCAATGTATCTGAGTGTTCATCTTTTTGCCCCAGCTGCCTTTTTGGGAGATATCGCCCTTGATGAAGATGACCTCCGCATGTTTAGAGCCCTCAGCAGTGATGGTGCAACGCCCACTGTCCAGACCAACAACACAGACTCAGGTATCAAATATCATTAATTTACTGACCTTTGAATTATTCTTATGACTGTTTGGGGTGTTCAAATAAAGGGATATACTCAATCCAGACTCATTTTCTGCACAGTTAACAGCTCCAGTGAGAGCATCAGGAGTAAGAGAGCCACAGACAGACAGAGTCTCCGTCGGAGGAGGAGAGCGGCCACATCCAGACCTGAGAGAGTGTGGCCGGACGGCATCATCCCGTATGTGATCAGTGGGAACTTCACAGGTGAGCTCTGGATTAAAACAGGAAAGCTTTCTTAAATATTTACAGGAGAGTTGTCTGCTATACACAGTCAGCATGTGTTGGCTGCTCTCTGTGATTTTGACCTGGTGAGGCTGTCAAACTCTAATTCCTTTCAGGCAGTCAGAGAGCCATTTTCCGACAGGCCATGCGTCACTGGGAGAAACACACTTGTGTAACATTCACTGACAGGACGACTGAAGAAAGCTACATTGTTTTCACCTACCGACCCTGTGGGTGAGTTGGCTGCTCATTAACCATTCTTATATATACTTGGGTTTCTACTAACACGTGTACATGTTCTAAAGACACATTATTTGTCTCGTAGAGTTTGTCCAAGTATCCCTGTATTCATGCTCATATGAAACATTACACTGTAGTTACTGTCACTGTAAGTTATTCTCCCTAAAAAGCCCAGTCTGCTCTGATTGACTTGCAAGAAAGGCACTGAAAATGTTTCATGAAGCTGCTGTCCCTTCTAAATCATTTAATTTGTTAAGATGCTATTTAGTTTTATTCAATAATTGATCAAGATGCTTGCATGTAGATAATGGCTCCATACTGAAGGACTTTGCTCATATGGCAGCCAAACATTCTGTTGTGTGTGTTTGAATGGCCCAATGAAAAAAGCCATTTGATTGGTCGAATTAAACAAGCCATATGATTGGTCAGTTGAAATTAGCCAATTGATCGGTCAAATAAAACGAGCCATTGGGCTGGTCATTTAAAACAAGGGATTTGATTGGCCCATTGGAACGATTCATTTGATTGGCCCATCTAAGTACACAGACATATATGAAGGCAATGGCAACCTGGGAATGTTACATCCAAAAACATAAAATCTGAAAAACTTGTATTCTACAAAAGGTAACAAAAAAGGTAAAGCTTCTAGTTATGATGTTTAGACACATGGGTGTATTGCCCTATGTTACACTCATGCACCTCAGTGTTTGTTAAGGTGCTCTTTAGTGAAATAGTGTCGCCCCTGCAGGTGTTGCTCCTACGTGGGGAGGAGAGGTGCCGGCCCTCAGGCCATCTCTATAGGGAAGAACTGTGACAAGTTTGGCATCGTGGTGCATGAACTGGGTCACGTGATCGGCTTCTGGCACGAACACACACGTCCAGACCGGGACGAGCATGTCAGCATCATCAGAGACAACATCCAACCAGGTACTGACACTGGATAAAAAAGTGTAAAAACATGCTATCCTCACTGACCCTCCAGATGTTTCTTCTTTCATTCACTCCACTGATGATGTGTTTATGAATAGGGCAGGAGTATAACTTCCTGAAGATGGAGCCGGGCGAGGTTGACTCGCTGGGGGAGGTTTACGACTTTGGCAGCATCATGCATTATGCAAAAAATACATTCTCCAGGTTGGCATTGTGAAACCTTTTTATGCTTTTCTTTCCCAAAGTGAGTTTTGTGGTACTACTATAATTTAATCACTTTATTTCCCAGATGTACTTTGATTCAGCTCTACCCTGGTTCACATAAACAGGCCATTAGTGATTCACTCTTACTACTACTATGCCTGTATATATTAACCGGCCACACACAGTGCACCAGGCCATCATCGCCAACACCTTTCTACTTACACTAAGTGATTTAGCTCCTTTATGCTCATGGCATTTAGAGTTTTAATTGAATACTTTTTTCACTGAGGAGAGTTCTGATTGGTTACTGTAGTTGTATGATATTTATTACAAGGTCTTGCTCATTTGACCTCCCCAGCTGCCCCTCATTTCATGCTGCATTATCAGCGGAGCTCCTACACTGACCAAGTGTTGTTCCCCTCATTCAGCTCTGCTAAACAAGCTTCATAGGGAACCTCAGGGGATTTGATCTTTTATTGTCACAGAAATGGTTTCACACTAGTCTCCTTTTCATTTCTGTCTCGTGCATGTTGTTGCCCCGTTGCTTTTCTCTGTGCTTTTGGTTTTTTACCTCCAATCGCCGCTTTGCTGGTGTGAGTCATGGAGGCGAGCCAAGGTAAATAAAGGCCTGGCAGTTCAGGCTTTGTTGAACAATTTGGGCTGGAGTGGCCTTTTTCTCTGGCATTCAGCAGCGGGCTCCACTGAGCCGGCTGGCACTGCCGAAAGGCCCCTTTCACAGTGCACTGTTTGCACATGCCTGTCATTCATGGGTGCATCTCCATGGGAACTGTGCAACAGTGACCTCCAAACCCAGAGAGATAATCACAATCAATAAAGTATCAAGGTGTTGAACAGGAGTCAGATTCCGTTATAAAAGTCTCTATATGTGAACATATTTTGCTGCACCTCCTCATCTGCAGACTTTTGAATTATTAGATTTATTTCCATTTCTATGAGAATTAACTGCTTGTGATCTGTCTGATACAGAGGCATCTTTTTAGACACCATCTTGCCTCGATATGACGTCAATGGAGTCCGGCCACCTATTGGACAGAGGACCCAGCTTAGCAAAGGGGACATTGAACAGGCCCGTAAACTCTACAAGTGTGCAAGTGAGTAGTGCATGTGCAGAAAACATCCTCACCCAAATGATTAATTGTATCATTATTATTTACTGATCCAATTAGATAGCAAACACCATGACTGAATATGCACTAAAGCTAAGGGAACCAGCTTCTTTGTTCTTTATTCTGGGACATTAAAGTTATTTCTCACTGTAATAAGACCATGTGTATGTTATGGTGTGTGCTTGTTAAAGGATGTGGGAACAGCCTGCAGGAGAGCTCTGGAAACTTTTCTTCTCCGGGTTTTCCCAACGGTTACTCAGCGTACGCTCACTGTGTGTGGAGGATTTCTGTCACTCCAGGAGAGAAGGTGAGTAATGACAAACAACAAGTAATTCATTTAGGGCTAGACAAATCACCAGCTTTATCCAGTTACTGACTGTTACTCATATCAAAACATTCAATACATGAACTCTCCCAGTCCAAAATACAATTCTCTACAGACTCTTTAGCTGTAATTAAATATTGCAAACATGCCAGCAGTGATATGGTGCACAGATCAGTTTGAAAATGTACTCACTTTTATTAATACTACTTAATGATTAACTTTTTAAACCATAAATAAGAATTCACACTTAATTGAAATGAATCACTGCTAGCTCAGTGTCACACGTTTCAAACCTAGTAGTAACAACAAGAGGAAGATATTTTGTCAATCTTGTAACTCTTGACATATCATTTATTTTGTCACAAACTTCCCTCCATGTGTCTTCTTCTGTCTCTTAGATTGTTCTGAATTTTACTTCCATGGACCTCTTCAGGAGTCACTTGTGTTGGTACGACCATGTGGAGGTCCGGGACGGGTTCCGGAGGAAAGCTCCTCTGAAAGGTCTGTAACTTTGACTTAAACCTCGTCTCCCTCTCATGCATAAACCTCAAGTCATTCCTGTGTCATAAACTCATTTCCAAGCTCTGTGAAGTGTAATTTTTTCATGGACTTTTGCAGGCCGTTTTTGTGGAGACACACTTCCAGAACAGATCATCTCCACTGACAGTCAACTGTGGATTGAGTTCAGAAGCAGCAGCAGCTGGTTGGGAAAAGGCTTTACAGCAGTCTATGAAGGTACAACATTGACAATATTGTACGCTTTTATTCAACACTTTCTTTCCCCTGATTGTAGAAATATAGAAAGCTTACCCTTGGTTGAAACAAATCACTTCTCACCTCCTGTGCAGCCATCTGTGGGGGAGAGGTGAAGCGGGACAGCGGCCAGATCCAGTCTCCCAATTATCCCGATGACTACCAGTCCAACAAAATTTGTGTGTGGAAAATCACAGTCGCAGAGGGTTTCAACGTTGGCCTCTCCTTTCAGTCATTTGAGGTAAAATCACTTTTCAAGGCATTATGAACAGGAGAAAATGCAAGAATGCTTCACCAACCTCAGATTCACCACGTTTTCGTAGTTTTTCGACGTTGAAAGGCGAGTAAGGCCTCATCTGCTGTAACATCTCTTTGCAAACATTACTGGCCTTGCTTCCCCTGCAGATTGAGAAACATGACAGCTGTGCCTACGACTTTGTGGAGGTGAGAGACGGCGGCTCAGACAGCAGCCCACTGCTCGGACGTTTCTGCGGCTACGACAAACCAGACGACATGAAAAGCAGCTCCAACCAGCTCTGGCTGAAGTTTGTGTCCGACGGCTCGGTCAACAAAGCCGGGTTTGCCGGCAACTTTTTTAAAGGTCAGAAAGTCATTACAGTAACAAACGGCCAGGATTAAAGAGAGCATCTGGTTTTATTTTGACGTTTTCCAATTTCCAGAGATGGACGAGTGCTCCAGACCCGACCACGGTCACTGTGAGCAGCGCTGCCTGAACACGCTGGGCAGCTACAGATGTGCCTGTGATCCAGGGTATGAGCTGGCAGCGGACAGACGCAGCTGTGAGAGTGAGTGTAGACGCGACTCCACACAGTGAGCCTGCATACTGCTTCAGTCACATCTGTACCCTGATTGTAGAGATCTTCTCTCAATGCAACACATATCCAATGTGTCCAATCACATGATCAAATGAACATGACATGAACCACAAGAATACTCAATATAAAACGTTTTAGATAATTTAGACTGTTCCACAATATATTACAGTAGCAGGACACATAATACGTATGGTAGTATATAAATTACAGTTGTGTAACTAATTAAGATTATTATTATTAAGACTAGAAATAGGTGGGTAAAACTAGCCTGGCTCTGTCTAAAAGTAATCAAATCAAACCTTTCGAAAACCTGTTTCCAGTCTTTGGTTTTTAACTAATCTAACTTCCTGGGGGTATGGACTTTTTTTTAACTAGGTTAATTCATCTTCTACAGCTGTAGTATTTCCAATCAATAGGCTATGACCTTCTTCTACCACCAGAGGGCAGTACTACCTCACTGCATTTCTTGAGCCTTCAGCACAATGCGGTGCATTTCTTGATTAAAAAAAAGTGATTGCGTAATCTTTAGTGACTACTCTTCTTCCAGTATCACTCATTTATATTACATAAATGATCCTGGTTGTAATCTAAGTTTTTGTTATCAAGAGCTTGTTAGCTACGTGGGTAACATGTTCTGCAATTAAATGCAAGAATTCTGACATTAGCACAAATCTAATTAATGTGTCTGTGTGTTCTCCCACCAGCAGCTGCCTGTGGCGGGTTCATCACCAAGCTGAACGGCTCCCTCACCACCCCCGGCTGGCCCAAAGAATACCCCCCCAATAAGAACTGTGTGTGGCAGCTGGTGGCGCCCATTCAGTACCGCATCACTCTGGTGTTCGATGTGTTCGAGGCCGAAGGGAATGATGTAAGTTCATGACTGTAATACATCTCTCTGCAGACTTTTTATCAGATAGTCTACTATAATCATGATCATTTCACAGGCCAATTCTGTGTCCTCTGTAGTAAAAATGTCCAGTGTTTACCACCAGGTGTGTAAGTATGACTATGTGGAGGTGCGCAGTGGGTTGAGTTCGGACTCCGAGCTTCATGGGAAGTTCTGTGGAGCGGAAAAACCTGAGGTGATCACCTCCCAACAAAACAACATGAGGATCGAGTTCAAGTCTGACAACACCGTCTCCAAGAGGGGCTTCAAGGCCCACTTCTTCTCTGGTAAGTAATGAGGCAAATTTACAGGAAGTGCTGAGGAAGGAAACACTGAGGAAGTATCACATAATGCCAAAGGCCTGCTACTGTGGGAAACATCACTGCACTCCATAGATGGGAGAAGTACTCTAGATCTTGTAATTGAGTGAAAATATAAGTAGTGTAGTGTAGGAACACTAAAGAAATAAAAGAAAAAGTTAAAGTCCTGCATTCAAAATGTCACTCAAGTAAAAGTACAAAAGTATTGGCATCTAAATATACTAAGTACCAAAAGTAAAAGTCCTTATTATGCTAATTGGTCCATTGAGTATAATTATTGATGCATTAAAGTGTTATCAAAGCTGGTAAAGGTGCAGCTATCTACATCTGTAAAGTAACTTAAAGGTATACAAAATAAATGTAGTGGAGTAAAAGTACATAAGTTACCTCTGAATTGTAGTGGGGTAGAAGTACAAAGTAGCAAACAATTGAAATACTCAAGTAAAGTACAAGTATCTCAAAATTGTAATTAAGTACTTGGGTAAATCTACTTTGTTACTTTACACCTCTGCTGCACTCCAAAAACAATGAAGCAGCTGTCTTCACTTTCTGATGCTTGACTGAAGGGAGGGATGTTGAACTTGTTTGTTCAAATGTCATTTCATTTTGCATAATTCAATCATTTAAAAGCATGTCTGGAGTTTAAAGTGAATCTGTGAATTTCACATTCAGAATCACAGTTTTCATTATTCACATAATTAAGACTAATGTTTGTGTATTTCTCTGATAGTATTTTATTTTATTATCTAATATAAAATAATTGTGTAGAAAATGTCTAATTAATGTCCCAACTGAATGCTCTTTTTTGTAATAAAAAATATGTTGATAGCTCATCTTAATATCCACATAATAACATCTTATTAATGTAGTAATGTCGCGAATGACCAGCTAAAATGTATTAAATGGATTCACCACATCCACATTAGTGTACGTGTAGGCCTATATCTTGAACCTCAAGCTGTTGATGTATTTCACAATGTATGCATTTGGTTCTTTGGACTGGAAGAGCTGATCTTTTTAAAAACACTTACATAAAACTCTTAGACAACAGAGTTTTGCTGAGAGCGTACAGTACTGCAGATTCTCCCTCGTTCAGTAACACAGGGAGCCTTTGTGTCTGCACTGCAGCGGCACATCTTGGCCCAAAACCCAATATGTGGTGAACTTTTTCTGCAGTCTGCTGTGACAGAAGTGCTGTGCAAAGGAATTTTGAAAATCAAATTCTTTAAACATTTCAACAGATATAGACGAGTGCTCCAAAGAAAACGGAGGCTGCCAGCACGAGTGTGTGAACACCTTCGGGAGCTACAGCTGCCAGTGCCGCAGCGGCTTCATGCTGCACGACAACAAGCACGACTGCAAGGAAGGTATAGTGGCGGTTTCTGCTGCATACTCACATGTCTTATTGGAAGGGTCAGTGCACACAAATTACAGAAAGACTGGAAATGTCTTATTTTTATTTAAGCAGAGATGGCAAAAGTACACACATCCTTTACTCAAATAGAAGTGCAAATACTCGTGTTTAAAGATATTCTGGTAAAAGTAGAAGTACTGACTAAACTTCTTTACTCAAGTAAAAGTAAAGAAGTATGGGCTTTGAAATGTACTTAAGTAAAAAGTACCCATAACTACCAGCTGTTTTAAAGAGTACCTGACCTCACTTTATATTAATAGAACAATAATGTCATTGTTAGCTAATGAATGTTTCTATGCTGAACAACGGCAACATGACAAAGTTCTCATTGGTCCCTCTTCTTTAGAGAAGACCAGGAAGTGATGGATACACGGATCGTGTTCAAATCAATAGGCACGCAATGACTCTAAATAATAATGATCACGCCACCAAACACAGATTAAAACTAAATTAACAAACCTGTTTTGAAAATGTAAGAAGTAGAAAGTACAGGTATTTGTGTAAAAAATATAAGAAGTAAAAGTAAAAAGTCGTCAGAAAAATAAGAAGTGGAGTAAAGTACTGATACCAGAAAAATGTACTTAAGTACAGTAACTAAGTATTTGCACACTAGTTCCCACCTCTGTATTTAAGTGTTTGTTTTTCACCTTTTATTTAATCTCGCCTTCAAAATTAGCTGACATGAGGGGACAAAAGCTCAGTGTTCTACTTTATAACTTTGATATATCTTATTTACATGTTATTTCTTCTGTCTGGACAGTTTTCTTATGAACTGCCTATTGTTATTACTTTTGATGGATGCCTATTCTTAAGAAAAGACCCCAGAGGACACTTGTGGTGAAAGGGGGAAATGATGTGACCACTCTGTTATGCAGCTTCCATTGTTTTGCTTTTCAGCGGGCTGTGATAACGCTGTGAGCACGGTGTCCGGCACAATGAGCAGCCCCAACTGGCCCGATAAGTATCCCAACAAGAAGGCCTGCACCTGGTCTCTGTCCACAACCCCGGGCCATCGGATCAAACTGGTATGTTGAATGGTCTTTTGTCACAACCCTTGGAAAGAACGATATTCATACCTTTTTATCACCACAGGTTTTCAACGAGATTGACATGGAGGCTCATCTGGAGTGTGCTTACGACCACCTGGAGATCTACGACGGGCAGGACGCTCGTGCACAAAGTCTAGGACGATTCTGCGGCACCAAAAAGCCTTCTCCAGTCATGTCCAGTGGAAACAAAATGTTCCTGCATTTTTTCTCAGACAACTCCGTGCAGAAGAGAGGCTTTGAGGCTTCATACAGAGCAGGTGGGCAAAGCAATTTTCTACGCCCAAAAAGTCTGGAAAATGGCCCTTTGGAGAAAGAATAGAATACAAAAAAAGTGATGTTTCAACTATGTTTGTCCCGCTATGTTTAGAAAAGTTGCATTCTTTCCTCACTTTTACAAGATCCTCTGTGTGACCCTCTAATCTTGTGGTTGTGAATTCCCAGAATGTGGAGGAAGCCTAAAAGCCGAGGTCAAGACAAAAGATCTGTACTCCCATGCACAGTTTGGAGATAACAACTACCCGAGCGGCTCGGACTGTCTGTGGGTGGTCTCAGCTGAGAAGGGATACGGAGTGGAGATCATCTTCCAAGTGTTTGAGATCGAGGAGGAGGTGGACTGCGGGTATGATTACGTGGAGCTGTATGACGGTGCTGACATCAAGTCTCCCAGGCTGGGACGATATTGTGGATCTGGGGTAAGGCTAAAAATACCAGTTTAGAGTTTTAAAAAATGTTTAAATTACTCTTCAAAAACCCTTTTTCTTCCCCTCAGGCCCCAGAAGAAGTGTACTCAGCGGGAGATGCCATAGTTTTAAAGTTTCACTCAGATGACAGCATCAATAAAAAAGGCTTTCATGTTCGCTACACAAGCACAAAGTTCCAGGACACGTTACACGCAAGCAAGTGACTCTCTACGCCAAAACTAAATGCGGAGACTTCACCCCTAACTTTTGGTCGGACACACCCATCTCGAGTGGATGCATGGATTGATACCACAAAAACCAACCCGCATACTTTTACTCTCACATCTGTTAGACTGGGAGAAGCCGTGCAGACAAATTGCATCTTCCATAGCTCTTTAGGATGAGAGGCGAGGATTAGCTTGCAGTGATTATTTTGAGTAAATTCAGCGACTGTAACGCCTGTAATGAGCTGATTAAGTTATAGCACTGTGTTGAAGATATACAATGTATATATTGTGATATAGTCTTAATTCTAATGAATGTAATGCACTTTGTTGTTTTATAAAAATGGACGAATGCACATAACAAAATAATAATGATGTAGTATGGAGAAAGAAATGATGTAATCGGAGTTGTCCTTCCCAAAATATGATTTGTTCGGTTATTTTATATTTTGTCGGACTTGCATTTGATATTGAATTTTCATTTCATTCATTACATTAATTACAGATTCAATTAGCGCCACATAATTCAATCTATCCAATATTCCCTTTACATCTCTGACTACGTTCTCATCAGTAAAACAAATGTATACTGACTTTGAACAGCAAATTAATACATAATACCTTGATTTATTTTTTAACTCACTTTAGTCTTTTAGAAGTGTACAATGTGGGCGTATAAGTACAGAGACACCAATTCAAGGAATTGAGGAAGCGAGTATGTACAAACTGAAATATGAGCCCTGAGCCTTTCATTTAAACCGATAGGGCTCCAACACCAACATAATGTAATGAAATGCTAAGGATGATCTATTTACTTTTTAATTTGCAATAAGTAGTTTGGAAAGAAGTTGGAAGACATTTTTTAAACTTTTATTAACATTTTCATTTAGAGTTATATTGGTTGCCAACATGTATCAGCCATTGAGTCAGCCAACAGTCAAGACATCTATCAAAACAAGTACAACATATCCAGAATTAAAACCATTTGTTCACATTATAAAAAACGTATTAAACCCAAATTATCTTAAATACGCTTTTAAAAATGTTTTGTCGTTGTTCTGCAGCTAGTTCGAATAAAAAAACATTCCCAATGTCCCTGAATGCACCAAAAAAAAAACTAACAATAAATGATATAGCATCTGATTAACAAAAAATGTACTGTATCAACATTTCCATAAAACCACATTATAGAGTGGTAAATATATGTGGATCATGATCAACAAAAGATTATTGAATCATTCAAATAATAATAAACCACACAGTTTCACATTCTTCACTGAAGCACAGCTCCTCTGAAGTGAAATGTGTGGCAGTAGATCCAGTCTAGAAAATGAACAATGTGTTACAGAACTTAAAAGTTCCCCGTGGAGCTGCTGTCCTCTAGAAGTGTTGTTTTCCAATGAGTGACCCTTTTTTTGTTTATATGATGCACACACAGTCCTTCAAATAGTGTCACATTGTGCCAATGATCAACAGGTGGCAGTCACACTCAAAGGTAAGCTGCAATGTGCCAACAAACACAGGCAAGAAGAAGGCTGAAGGCTAGCTAGTAGCTAACAGATTGCAAATGTTTGTGAGGAAGAGGATCTCCACAGGGCCCCATCTGTTTCTGTTGTTGAGATGTATCTAATGTACAATGCAACTTAACAATTCTCCACTTCTCTACATAGTAAAAGTAATTGTTCCATGTTTGTTTATCAACTTTTGAAAATCTTTTTCAGTTGCATATTTGTCACACTTTCTTAAATCTTAGGTAGGAACACTTTGAGAGGCTCATTCTCATGCACTTTATCTAGGAAGCCGAGGTTGAAATAGGGGAACAGGGTCTCGGTGAAGTTCTCCCTGAAGGTGTAGAGGTGTGCCATGCACTCTGCGTTGTAGAAGGACACCAGGCCTCTCTTGTAGTCCAGATACACCCCGATCCTGACCAGGGGCTCCTCCAGGGACAGGACGGTGGGGGGGGAAGTGCCGGCCATGTACTGTATCCCATAAGAAAGGGAGAGGGTCCAGAAGCCGTTGGCAGGGAGGGCTTTGATGACCCCCTTCCTGGGCACCGACTCCCGGGCCACCCCCACCGTCCACACGGTGCTGCTGTAGACTTCGATCTCCCAGTAGTGGCGCCCGTGGGTAAAGCCCTGGCTCCCCAGCAGCGACAAGGCAGCGTTGAACCGTGAGGGGTTGTCCTGCACCGTGAGGTTAAAGGTCTGGTAGCGCACACAGGTGAGGGAGGAGGTCAGGCTGAGCCAAGGGTTGGCCGTGCTGGAGTTAAAGGTGATGGCCGCTGGAACTTAAAACAGGACAAATAACAAAAGAGTTAAAAGATCAGAGGGTTTCTGTGCAGGCTATTGCTTCTAGTTTACATTTCCCCCCAAATAGGATTTGTTGTATATCCATTACTCCCACTGTGTCGCTTTGAAATCTTAAAGAATACTGCATGCCTCCAGAGTGAAGGAAAAAGCCAAGTCTTCCTAAACATTTCCAAAAGTCGACATCACAAGTGCATTTTGCATGATAGGTCCCCTTTAAGTAAATGGGATCTAGTTTTAACAACACAAACTCTCAGAACTCGTGCAATTTAATCCAAGTCTAATTCATCCAATGATATGATCGCTTTTTTTTTAGATATGCATTTTAACTAAAACCTTACTATTTAACACTTTTGGTAAAGTTCAGTGTTTAGGAAGAAGTGAGCATCTGTTCGAGTGTATAATGAGACTTTAATTAAACTGCGAGTTTGAGTGTGAGAAAATGTATGTTTAATTATAGATCTACATGTTCTTCAATTCATCAATAGTTTTCTCAGTTATTTGTTAATTGTTCACACTGCAGATGTGACGAGAAAGTTTCTTCAAAATTCATGGTACCACGGCGTGAGTAATAGATATAAAAATGCTAATTTTCATGTATTCCTTTAGTACCTGGATAAAGGATTCCTTTCATGGATTTCCACACTCTGTACTGCAGGGGCCCCGCAAAACGACCCTCACACAGACTGGGCGGTGTGAATGTTGGTTTTTCAAACTTCAGTGAAGGCCTTCCAACATAAGCAAAAAGTCAGAACAGTTAAGAGACGGAGATAAAAACTAAATCTATGCAGAATAAAACATTCAGACGCTTCTCTCACTCACCTCTGGAGCAGGGCTTTGATGCTCTGAATCGAGACACAGGAATAAACACAAGACAGACACAAACTATGATTAGTATCTGAGAAGCAGAAAGCTTTTTCCACATTACATCAATGCCTGAGCTCACGCTATCCCACCCTGTGGGATCTCCCTGTGGCCGGGGAAAGTCCCGCTGTATGGCCCCGTGCCTGAGCTAAACTCCTTATCCTCCAGATCAACAAGTGAGATCACGGTCTACATCCTGTCTCCACTCTGTGCAAGTCTTTTGTTACAAGAGAAGTAGCAGCTGTGTTAACATTTCTACCATGTACGATAGTCTTCAAAATAATGCAAAGTGACATGATAAACATTTTTATGGCCTTTTTAATAATAGTGTATAACTTACACAGGAAAGCCAGAATGGTCACACCCTGCTCAGTTAAGTGTTTAAATGTTGATGTTGGAGCCATTGAGGCACCGAAATACAGCCCAGATCATGAAAATGAACTTTTACCCCATATTCCTGTTTCATAGCATAAATGAGTCTGGAAACCAATAGATTTAAAATCATGAGCTCAGCAGTTCTTGCTCTAATTACCCCCAGAGCTGACTCATAATGCTGTCTATCATTTCCAGATGGACTGTTTTGAACGTGTATGAGGTTGGTTTCAGCGGATCTTACCCGCAGCAGGGTGAAGGCATCCTGCTCCCTCAGCTTGTCCTCGATCTCGTGGAGGGCCCCCTGCAGACGGGAGATCTCCACGCAGAGCAGCGCCTTGTGCTCGTCCAGGCGGATCAGCTCCCTGCGCTCCTCAGTCTTCAGCTTCACCTGCAGCAGCTTCTCCTCCTGGTACAGGAACTGGTGCAGGTCGCTGAACTGGGCCTCGATGCGCTGCTTCAGGTCAGCCGTGTGGTCCTGGATCATGGACAAAGTCAGTGGGAGCAATCTCTTACAGTGTTTTCACAAAGAGGATCTTTTGTTCTTAGCTGCTACAATCTATGTTGGGAATTAGACACATTCACATCTTTGTTTTGCAGATTGCTTTCTGGCAAAAGCCGATTTAAAGGTGCCCTATACTGTTTTTCATCAATATATTATAGGTCTCAGATATATACAAACATGTCTCTGAAGTGTTTGGCTCCAAATACCAAACAGATTATTGTAGCATCCCATAATCCTCTCTGTTTCAGACCTGTTCCAAAAGTGCTGATTCTCTGTCTGTTACTATAGATGAAAATAAGGAGCCACTCCCCACGCCTCTTTACACAGAGGGGATACATGTTTATTTATAAAACACATGAAAAAGTGGATTTTGCATTATAGGTGACCTTTAAGAGATGAAATAAATCAAAGTGGATATTTTAGTCCAGTAATGATTGTATTGTGTGCTTTGTGGCATCTGTGTTTTTTGGAAGTGTTTCCTCTCACCTTCAGCTTTGTAACCTCGTCCTCTACCTCTCTGTCACACTGCAGCGCCGTGTTGAGCTCCACCTTCAGTGAGTCCATGGAGCTGTTTAGAGACGCCTGACAGGACAGAGACACAACATCACTGCACACTGACCCGCATCTCCCTTCAAGTACAATGTCCCCCCTATGTATAGTTGATCTGAAGCAAAAAACTAGATCGGAACAGATTAAGAACTCATATACCTATATATAAAACTATATGTAATGTTGCATTTAAGGTATTTGCTCACGTACATACACTGTAGGAAACCAAACAGCCACAGCAGTGATTTACCTGAAATAAACTCCTGATATGCTGACTAATGTGCACTTCCTAAAAAAACGATCTTTTGGAAACTAAATAAAAGTCAGTGTGTAGAGAAGAAAGAAGAAATTGACACTATAACAGGCTGAAGACCATATGTAGTGTATTATGCACTAAGAAAAATATGCAAAAAACCTGACTTGCAGCAACATGTGTAACAGAGAACTTCTGAGACCTTGATTTTAGAGGGTACTAAAAATCAATAAATGTGCATGTTGGATATTTTCCTTCAAAGAGTGCATTATGAAAGCACAAAAAGCCCAAACAATCCAAATTGGTCAGTGTATTAAAACAATATATTTTCTCCTGTTGGCTGAACTCACCCTGTACTTGTGCTCGGCCTCCTGCACACACACCATGGTGTGGTTCCTGTGCTCCTGGGAGACCCCACACACCAGACACACCAGCTCCTGGTCCTCCTCACAGTAAAGCTTCAGCTCCTCTCTGTGTCTGATGCAGCGGGGGACCGGAGCCGGAGCAGGGACCCTCTCCACCCCCCCGACCTCCGCCAGGCGGGGTTCGCTCCCGCTCTCCTCCAGACCCTGGCAGTAGCTCTCCACGATGTTGGCCACGATGCGGTTGGGCCTGTAGCTCTGCCCAGGGAACAGCTTCCTGCACTGGGGGCAGGAGCCGGTCCCTCCATGAAGGGGGACCCGGGGCCCGGTCCAGTAGCCCTCGATGCAGCCCTGGCAGAAGGTGTGATCACAGGGCAGGGACACCGGCTGCTTGAAGAGATCCAAGCAGATGGAGCAGGTGAGATCTCTGCTGATTCTGTGTGCTGAGCTTTTGGTGACTTTCCCAGCGAGGGGAGGCTGCCGCAGCTTTTCCATCGCTGCAGGGAAGTCTCCTTCCTTTGGTTTCCAACTTTTCTTCTCTGGCTTTAACCCCTGGTTGAGTTTTTCCAAGTTCTGCAGATAAACTGTCTGGATTTTCTTCACGTCTTTAGGATTCTTGCTCATTCCCTTGCCTTGTTTTTTTTCCTTTGTTCTGATGGTACAGCTGGACCTCCACGTCCTTCCTCTCCTGCAGAGTGCTGCTGCTGTGCTTGGCCTCCAGTCTTCCTGTTGAATGTGGGGAAGTGAAGTGGGTGGTGCAGCAGCAGCCACAGCCTCTCACATCCACAGCAGATAGTGAGGGAATCTCAACAGGCCCCCCTTTTCCCTCCAGAATGACGTCACGTCTGAGTCAGGAAACCAAG